AGCAGCGGCAGTGGCGACGCAGCCCGGCCTGCCTGGGCCCAGCGGGGAGGCGGCTCAGCCTGCCCCGGGCCCGGCCCCCCACAGGGAAAAAAAAGTCTGTGGATAGCCCGCACCCCCATATAGCCTGCACCCATCCATTTTTTTTGTAAAATCGCGTATACCCCACGGGATATATGGGTGAAAATATGGTAATCCGGATCAGGTCATGAGTGACTACAGGGCTCTGGGGGCTGGGCTCAAGGGGTTTGGGGCGCAGGTAGTCTTTTCCTCTGTGCTCCCAGTTGTAGGCCACAGACCTAGGAGGGAAGGATGTGTCAAAGAAGTGAACCAATGACTCTGGTAGTGGTGCTACCAAGAGGGCTTCGATTTCTTCAACCACCGTGCACACTTTAGGGAGAGAGGACTCCTGGAAAGGGGTAAGTCTGTGTTCTCGGCCAGTATGGCTGATCTTCTAGATAGGGCTTTAAACCAAGATCACCAAGGGACGGGGAAACACTGACTGACTGGAGCATGCGTGGGGACTGGCACACTGGGTGCTCCGAAGTTGTGGACAATAGGAGAGCCACTCTTGCAAGAGCTGAGGGAATGGTTCTCCCTCAGCGTGACAGGAAATTGAGGGTCGCAATTGGAGGACTCGTGCCTATACACTAATGCCAGAAGCATGGGGAACAAACAGGAGGAGCTAGCCCTCCTACTCTCCAGTGGGCATTCCAATCTAGTAGGGATTACAGAGACCTGGTGGGACTCCTCACACGATTGGAACATAGCCATAGATGGCTACACCCTGCACAGAAGGGACCGAGTAGGGCAGAGCTTTCCAAACTCTGTGCCGCGACACATTAGTGTGTCGGCAGCAGTGTGTAGGTGTGTTGCGCGAAACACAGAAAATTTTGCGGAAGGGCACTGCGGAGCTCCCTTACTCGCGTCTGCTTCCCTTGGCCCCTCCCCCAGAACTGAATTACTGTGTCGCGAAATGATGCATGTCTAAAAAGTGTGTCACCAACATGAAAAGTTTGGAAAGCTCTGGAGTAGGGAAGAAAGGTGGAGGTGTAGCTGTCTGTGAGGGAGCAGTACACCTCCTTGGAGGCTGACAGCAGCTCCAAAGAAGAGTGGCTCAAAACCTTCTGGGTCAAACAACAGTAGGGGACACAGTGAGAGAGACCTAACTGTAGGTGTATACTACAGACCACCAAACCAGGGGGAAGAGCTCGATCTGGAGTTCTCTCAAGAACTGGCAGAGGCCGCATGCGCATAGGACATGGTCGTCGGTTGTCATGGGCAACTTCAGTTACCCAGACATTGCTTGGGAGCAGGGCCATCCCTGAGAGGGGGGCAAATCAGGGCATCCGCCCTAGGCTCCATGCTTTGGGGGCCACTGGCTTTACATCCGGTTGATTGGCACCCCCTGGCCACCAAATCTGGTGCCTCCAGCCATTTGGCAAATTCTGTCCTTTCCCCCCAGGCACCAAATCTGCCACTGGCTTCCTCACATCCCGGGGCGGGGTTGCCTCTGCTTGGTAGGAACACTCAGCTAAGTCAGATCGGTCGCATTGCTTCCTGATCTGTATCAAAGAACTATCTGACTCAGGAAGTGCTCGGGCCAACCAGAGGTAACACTTTTCT